CACGCCAGGCTGCAATCACCACGTCCCCGTGGACTGCCCGATTCCGATGCTGCGAGCCACGCACCTCACGCTATGGGATCCTCCTGAAGTTTAGGGTTTAGTTAGGATGTTCCTCCTTATACTAACAGTCCTTAGTAGGGATTATACTAAAGTGTACCATAATCCCCATTAAGGACTGGCATAAGGGGGAACATCTCACGGGCTCAGTGTTTAGGGCTTCACCTTGAATTAACCCCATGGAGTCCAAGCAATGCCCTAACAATGCTTTCCTTCCCGTGCTTTCGGTGACTTCCCCGCGAAGGGAAAGACCCGACTTGAAACCCCAGCAATCATCTTCGAGCTCGACCCCCACAACATCTGCAACCCCCAAAACCCCCCAATACCGCAAAAACCAAAAAAAAACGAAAAACCCAAACAAAACCCGACACCAAAAGCCCTCAAAACCCAACTCAAGGGACGTTGGGGCCCAGGCCACGAGGTCCCGGTCGTCGCTTCTCGCACCATCAGGCCGGACGAAGGCGATACCTGTAGGTTCCCTACATGCGGTTTAGGGTTTAGGGTTCAGGGTTTAGGGTTTAGGGTTTAGGGTTCAGGGTTTAGGGTTTAGGGCTTAGGGTTTAGGGTTTAGGGTTTAGGGCTTAGGTACCTGTAGGTTCCCGGGCTTCGGGTTGCTTAGTAGGGTTGTGTAAGGGTTTAGGGTTAAGGTTGTTTATACGGGGCCCCAAGCCCGAAAGCCCTAAACCCCAAACCTGAAGCCCTAAACCCCAAACCCTAAACCCCCAAACCCCAAACACCCTAAGCCCCAAACCCCGAACCCCCAGACCTCTCCCTGGAGCTCACTGAGCTTCGACCCGCTAACTCGCAAGGTGCCGCGGATCAGCGCCTTGTGGGCGGGGCGAAGGGCTCTAGGGTCGAGGGTAGAAAGGTGTAGTGTTGAGGGTGGCCCCTTGGTATGGGTGTAAAAAGGGGCACCCCTTGTATACCCCTGATATACCCTATACAACCCAAGCGCCCTTACTTCAGAACCCTTTAATGAAGGCAAGGGACCCTTTTGAGGGACCATCTAACTCTCTTTCTCTCTTTCAGGCATCGGATCCGTCAGGATGCAGCCAAAGCTTGCATCTAAATAAGAAGAGTGAAACAAAATGGGAAAGTAGACTCCAGCTCTGTCGGGGCCACATTGGAGAGGAGCCAGCCCTTGGCCCGGCTTGTCTCCCAAATTCCTTGGAGTGTTGGAGCGATGGCACGAGTGGAGACAGGCAAGTGGAAGGCAAAAGGAACACCTCTGCCCCAGAGCTGAGCCGCAATCAGGAGTGAATCCAGAAGATGTTGCTTGGAGGTATGCAGGGCCCGGAGTTGCTTGGGGGGAGCCGGGAGCTCAACAGACCGAAACCTGAAGCCGCAGAGGTGAACGAAAACAAAACCCCCCGGGTTCTGCCGTCCAAACTCTTGGAGCTGGTCAGCCCATGCACATGCACCCTCGGCAAGGGAAGGGGCACACAGGGTGTGCTGGCTAACACGGTATTTGCACAGAGCCGCCCACATGTTCCTGGGAGCAAGGAGAAAGGCTGGGTCTGCCACAAGCGCAGGTAGGCCCCGGACAACGTGCGAGATGCGCAGCGCGCGTAGTTGTTCTTCCCCTTGGACGAAGGCGTGTTGAGAAGTCCCACCCGGTTGGCCGAGGGTCTCCAGTAGCCATTCAGGTCTCAGGCACTGCAGGGCCTGACCGGTAGCCCGACGGTGGCCAACGAGTGCTGTGATGGGCAAAGCATCCCCGAAAGGACCCAGGAGTGATTGCTCCCACGCCAACAAAGAGTCTCTGAGCATGCTCTGACTACAGGAAAACTGCGACAACAGGTGCCTATAATCTTCCAGGAGTGCGCTGTCGGAGTCGGGGATCAGCCCGTCCTCAAACAAACCGTGGAAGAGGTCAACCAAAGGCGCAACCGGCTGTGCCGTGGAATGAGGAGCAGAGGTTTCCCACACACGTTGCGGGCCAGCAGCAACTGTCGCAACAGTCAAACACTCATGGCCAAGGTCAGCCTTCCTGCTACCTTCCCCGGGCAGAGGTGTGCATTGAAACCCAGCTTGCGAAAGAGCATTACGGCAACCGGCGGAGTGCCCGAAGTGCCTGCAGAGACGGGTGTGACTGGCATACACCTTCAAGCACTTGGGGCACGTGACCCCTGCCGTTAAGCATCTTGATGGCTTTACCCTCCCGTGGACCTGAATGCATGCGCGGCCCAGGCTTGCTTAGTGGCGAAGAGCCGGCCGCATGGCGCACAAGCTTCCTTGGGCCCTAGGATGTTATCCCGCTCTTCCAGAGAGCCCCCAAAGTGAAGAAGGCAACGAAGGAGTAGGCCTGCAAAATGCTGAAGCAGATCCTTATCAGCTTCACGCCAGTATGCCAGTCGAAGTCCCGTGTTGATGAAAGCTTTCCACTTCCCCGGCTTACGAGCAATGATAGTCTGCCACTGGCTCCAGGCCGTTTCCCAGGTGGGGTGGTGCTGGCCGTTGTCAATGCACTCCCACAGCCAAGACAGGGATCCCCTAAGAGCAGCAAGCCAGGTCCCTTCCGCACGCAGAACGGCCCATAGCTCCCGCGGACCTTCTCGTATCAAGGACGCCGCGTAACGAAGCCGTTCAGGACCATCTAACTACCCAACTAAAAACCCTGAGCCCCAGACCCTGAAACCCTAAAGGGCCCGGAAGCCCAGCTGCAACAGGAGAAGGCAAGGCCTCAAGCAGCTCCAGCCCTTAACCCTATGTCCTAAGCCCTAAGCCCCAAACCCGAAGCTCTGAGCCCTATAAGCCCTCAGCTCTAGCAAGCCCTAAGCTCTGAGCCCTAATCCAGCTCTAAGCCCTGTAAGCCCTATAGGCCCTTTCAGCCCTTATAACAAGCCCGAAACCCTACGCTCTAAACCCTAACCCCAGAGTTCCTTATGACTCCTCTGCACGGGTGCTCGCAGCCCACCAAGGTCGGCGCCCCCGTGGCCAGGCCTTGCAGAAGCTTCAGGAGCCCGTAGGGTTTAGGGTTTAGGGTTTAGGGTTTAGGGTTTAGGGTTTAGGGTTTAGGGTTTAGGGTCTAGGGTTTTGGGTTTAGGAATATGTGGGACCTGGGGTTGCCTCCGACCTCCTCCCCCCCCCCACCCCCCCCTAGGACTTCGCAAAGAAGAGTCGCCTCAACCCAGTGCGTTCAGACGGCTGACATCTCGCATCGTCAAAGAACACTGAGCCAACTAAGAAGAACAAACGAAGCTATACTGGCGTTAGAACCATGATAAATGCTGACTGGATCTTCCATAAAGAAGCACAAACATAATTCCTGAGGAAACCATTGCTTTTCCTGCGGCTAACTTGGTCCCTTGCTGCATGTTGGGTAAATCGTCTTATCGTACCGACTCCAGACTATGCCGGCCTCATCAAACTCGGTGCTCCCCACACCCTGTAGTATGAGATTTCAGGCCCTATAAGCCCTAAACCCCGTTTGGGCTTCGGGGGATGTAGGGTATTCAGGGGTATTTCTTGCTCAGGGTCGGTCCTGCTTGCACGGTGTCCTCGTCCAAGTGTGGGTCGAAGACCTTGCGTCGGCCTTGGGAAGGGGGAGGGGAGGGACTCTTCTAAGCGCTGTGCTTAGAGGTTCCGAGTTTCAGGGTTCCAGTGATGGTAGAATGTCCCAGGGGCTCTGGTCTCGACAGGGTCTTCGGGGTTTGGGGCCTTGGGAATCCTGATGCTTCCGGGAACCCTGAAAGGGGTAGCGGGGGTATGGGGAGGGGGGGGTTGCTGAGCAGGAGGATCTGAAAGCTCGGGAAACTACCCTGAGGGTTTCACGTCTGCTTGGTGGGGACTGCAATCGTGGCAGGATCACATGCGCCAGAAGTGGCCTTTGGATACCCTTTCGAATTACAGCCCTTCTCTTTTGGGGGACACATGGCCATTGAAGTGTACGAACTTCCTGGATCCAGCTACGCTTCTCCACCCTTCACAGATCAGCTCTCGACCTTTCGCGCCCGTGGAGGGGGCGGCAGCCGAAGTACCGGCAATGCAGGCACCTGCCACGCCGAACCGGCAGCTTCGGAGTTATATACCCTACGTTCCGGAGGGCATCGCATCGCTTGCAGGTGCCAAGTCCCTCAACCCCAAAGCCTAAACCGGGTAGGACTCAGAGGGGGGTTTACGAAAGTAGGGGACCCCTAATTCTAGCCCCCAAGAAGGTGCCCCTAATTGCGGAAGCACCCTCAACCCTAAAACCCTAAACCCAGATGACTCAAGTTCCCTAAGCCCTAAACCGAAACCCTAAACCCAGATGACTCAAGTTCCGTGCGGACACCTGTCGCGGCTGCTGCGCCGAGATCCTGCGCGGGCGCTAGATCTGAGGCCTTTGTGGGCTTCATGTGGCTTTGTGGGGATGTAAGGGCTTTTTTTGGAGACTTTGATGCACAGGCTAGGGTTCAGGGCACGTAGTATCATACGCAAGGGACTGCCATTTACAGAACTGCCCATTTTCCGCAGAGCCAGCGTCCCGAAACCCCAAACAACAGACCAGAGAGACATTGTGCCCAGTTCCTCATCCGCTGCCGTAGCGGTGGCCACATAGCCCTCCGCCTGAGTGGCGTGCGTGTGCTCACAAATCCGACCCACATTCCTTAGGGATCCTCAGCATTCCCGAAATCGTCTGAGCACAGGGCCATGGCGCTCGCAGATGTTCAGCGCCCGCGAGCACGTGTGTGGATCCTAATAGGTCCTGAATGCTGTTCCTCCGAGCTACCTGGGATACAGGCCCCGACAATGAAAAATTCGAGGGGCGTACGGCATCAGATCAGGTATCGCAGCATGGTTGAGTGCTAGAATACAGGCAGGACGCTGCATGTTGCCCACTATCGTGCAAACCAGCTGCAAACAAAGCTGCCGGGATTGCCACTGCCTCTGTAAAGACCAGCTCAAGACGAGAGGAAAGCGCAGCTGCTTCAACACGTGGCCCTTTTTCAGCAAACGGACGCGCTCCAGGTGCTCTCGTGATTGCCGTCGAAGTCCACATGCTCCACCTGCGTGCCACAGAGAGTTCGCGAGGATCGCTGGGGCCCACGCCCGGGAGAAGGTGATTGTCGGCCTTGATCTGGGTGCCGGCGAACGTCGCGCCATTCATATTCTTGCAGCACTCCTGGAACAGGGTTTAGGGTTTAGGGTTTAGGGTTCAGGGTTCAGGGTTTAGGGTTTAGGGTTTAGGGTTATTCATGATCTTGAATCTTGACAGCTTGCTGCCAAACCAGGAGCTGTCTGGACACTCCACCTACCTCGGCTGCATCCTCCGTGGCAAAGCAGACCCAGACCTCCGCAAGCAGGCCCCGGACACATTGTGGCTTTTTTGCAACAAAGTTCGCACAGCAACAATAATCATAATCATAATAAGAATAATAATAATAATAATAATAATAATAATAATAATAATAATATGAACAGAAACAACGATAACGATATTTATAGGAACAACGTTCACAATAATCATAACAAGAACAATAAGATCATCATGACAATGTGAATACCAAAAAGAACAAAAATGAGAACAAAAAGAAGAATCATAATGAGAACAGTATTGATAGCAATCTCAATAACAATACCCTAACTCCCAAACCCTAAACCCTAAACCCTAAACTCTATCATCTATCACACTCACGTACTGAAAACTTCAACACCGGCACCGGACCAAAGTGAAAAAGGCCTTGATTCCCCTCTCGCCCCCCTCTGTGCTAACGGTGATTGCCTCTTGCAAAGCCAGGGTGTAGGGTTTAGGGTTTAGGCGGGTTTAGGGTTTAGGGTTTAGGGTTTAGGGATTAGGGATTAGGGTTAGGGTTTAGGGTTTAGAGTTTAGGGTTGAGGGCTTAGGGATGTTCAGGGTGTAGGGTTTAGAGGAAGTTTAGCGACCATCAACTGCGAATGTATGTCAAAGGGCTCTCGGCCTTGAAGCAGGCCACACCTCTGACTTGGGGGCTTCTCAAATTCGGGGTACCCATTTTTGGGGACATCCTTTCTATGAGGAGAAAAACATTCTAAGGGGAAAAATGCACACTTAAATGGCTGCCCTAAACCCTAAACCCTAAACCCTGAACCCCTGAACCCCTGAACCCCTAAAAGTCCTCCCCTCTTCGGCCCAAGGCCTGCGCGTGCACCCCGCCGCAGTCCGGGAAGCAGTCTCAGCGGTTTAGGGTTTCGGGTTTAGGGTTTAGGGTTTAGGGTGGACGGAAAGCAGGGGGGAGCGGATGGGAGCGGCATGGGGGCAACCCACTCCTCCTACACCCACGTAGTCGGGGGGGGGGGGGGAGGCCTACAGTGGTATCGTTGAAGCCGGCGTGTCGTCTTGAAGTGTGAAAAGAGCATCTGAGGATTCTTTGGTCAGCAGTTCAGGTCCGGCGGGCCTCTGAAATGGCGATAAAAAGTGCCGTTTTGGGCGAGCTCTCCGCTTCTTTCCTTTCACGCCAAAGTTGCAAGTCATCAGGAAACCCAATCAGGTGCTTGAGGGATGCAACCACATATACCCACATGGAGGTTCCAAAAATAAGGGTAGAATAAGTGGAGTCATAGTAGTAGGAACCCCCTGATCCGAGGCTGATGCTCCGGATTTCACCGAACTTGCGGCATTCCTGGCAGCACACCCCGGAGTTGGCATTCGACTCCCATCGCGCCGCGCTACACATTCCCAATTTTCCCATAAGTAGGGAGTTGCGGAATTGGTACCGTAGAATCTAACCCTTGCTTCATGGGAAGTCCGAAGAACCTGAGAACTAGAGTAACCAGACAGTCACCGTTAGGTGTGGCACCTCCTCGACGCTGGACGTCATGTCCTCGCGACAGAACTGCTTCAAGTGGTTCGGGATGGGAATGATGCTGCAAGGCTTTGCAATATACTGGTTCCGCATGAACCCGGAACCTGGATCTGCAAACCCTGAACGTTCAAATTCACCCTAAAAGCTCCACATGGGCCGGCCTGAAAGAAGCTTGGCCACCCAGCATAGTCGACTAGTTGCATGTCACAGAGCCTGCAGGCGCCGGATCCCACGGGTTTCGTGCTTGGGGTTCAGGGCTTTAGCCACCCTAAACCCGAAACCCTAAACCCGAAATCCTGAAACCCTAAACCCGAAGCCCTAAGCCCTGAACCCTAAACCCTAAACCCTAAACCCTGAGCCCTGAGCCCTGAACCCTGAACCCTAAACTTAGTTTCGACTTGGTGTGTGGGGTCTCCTGCTCATAAGTCAAAAAAAGCGCGGACCCACTGCATCCATCAGAGACGAGATGCGGCTTCTTATGATCCCCTTGGTACCCCAGTAACCATATTACAATAAGGTTTAGGGTTTAGGGTTTAAGGTTTAGGGTTTAGGGTATAGGGTTGAGGGTTGAGGGTTGAGGGTTTAGGGTTTAGGGTTTAGCGACCCTTTTGGGGGTTGGTTACTGTATAAGGGAACCTTGCACCAAAAAAGGGTAAAGGGTACCACTGGGCTGCCAAGTCCCTTTAAAGCAAACGGTGAACACAAAGCGCCGACGTGGAGTGAAGTCAATGTAGGGTCTGGGGTGTAGGGTTCAGGGTTTAGGATTTAGAGTTCAGGGCTTCGGGGAAGTCACATCTCTACTGACGTTGATGATGATGATGATGATGATGATGATGATGATGAACCCTAAACCCTAAACCCTAAACCCTAAATCCTAAACCCTAAACCCTAAACCCTAAACCCCAAACCCTAAACCCCAACGATCACGATGTCAAAGGCGGACATCGGGAACCTTCATCGACTGGGTGCCAGGCTCGCTCAGCAACACCGTGAAGCCCGTCTGGCCACATGCTGGGGACATGGTGAGGGTAGGGTTTAGGGTTTAGGGTTTAGGGTTTAGGGTTTAGGGTTTAGGGATTAGGGTTTAGGGCCCACTCAATTAGAACGGATAGCTTGAGCAGGTGGTCTTATGGCTCTTATATGAAGTAGAGGAACTATCTGGGCAGTCATGCTTGCTCTCGACAGATCATCACGCGTCCTCCTGCTGCTGGTCTCCGACTTCGAAGTTTTCGTGGTCGAAGGCCTCCTCCCGCATGGGTAAGTCATGGGTCATCATCGAACAGGATATTTGGGATAACAGTCCTTAATAGGGATCATGCTAGGGGGTTACTATAATCCCCATTAAGGACTGTTAGGAAAAGGGAGAACATCCCAGGCTGTTATCAATGCCAGGATTACCATCTGCAGATGCAACTTACAAGTGAAGCTGAGACGCGGCTTTTGCGAGTGCTGCCCGTAAGATTTTCCGAACGCTTGAAGCTGGCCATAAGGCCTAGATACCCCTTGTTACTTGGAGGTTCACGGGTATTGCGGGTGCATTTTCCTGTCATGAAAACCCGCGGAGGTCCTGGGGCCCCGGCTCAGGCTCTTCCACCTTAACTTGGCCGAAGAGGGGGTTTAGGGTTTAGGGTTTCGGGTTTAGGGTTGAGGGTTAAGGGATAGCTAAAGTTTCTAGAAGATCCTTTCACAGACAATTTTGCGAAAGGGCCTGCAACAATCCTCAAGTATGTCAACAGTGTCTGGAAATACCTGCCGTCAAGATTCAGGATTCAGAGTCATAGGGTGACAGTCGCTAAGCTGCTGAAGAACATGAGCAGCAAAGGCTGCCCGGTAGAGGGTGCATATGGAGCCCTGCCATTTAGGCTTCTTCTGTCCTTGGCCTAGCTGCGGTAGCTCTTCTGCCCGAAAAGCCCGACATTGACGCATCTGCCTAAAGGCTCATCCAACCTTCCCCAAACGGTTTAGGGTTTAGGGTTTAGGGTTTAGGGTTTAGGGTATAGGGTATAGGGTTTAGGGTTTAGGGTTTAGGGTTTAGGGCTTCAACAAGGCAAGCTCCACGGCGCCCCTCCTCTCAGCCCGCTGTTCAAAAGGACCCGGCAGCAAGCTCCGGCGCGAAGTCGCGCACGTCGCCTGGATGTCTGAGCTCCATCGAATCCATGAAACCAGCCTCAGACTCAGGCGATGCCGAAAAACTTTAGGGTTTAGGGTTTAGGGTCTAGGGTCTAGGGTTTAGGGTTTAGGGTTTAGGGTTTAGGGCCGCAAGATACTGCTTTAGGGAACTTGAGACACCTTTAGTCCCTTGACTGCTGCGATGCGTACGTTCGCACGGCCAGAGCCTGGATCCCTTCTTAGGGTTTAGGGTTAGGGTTTAGGGTTTAGGGTTTAGGGTTTAGGGTTTAGGGTTTAGGGTTTAGGGTTTAGGGTTTAGGGTTTAGGGTTTAGGGTTTAGGGTTTGAGGCTCTTCCCCCAAGGACCCAAAAACCCCTTCAGGAATGTTCCTCAAATGGGGGTTTCCGATTTTAGGGCTACCGTATTGGGGTCTTATAATAAGGGAATCCGACTATTTGGGGGGGGCCTATATAAGGGGTCCCTTGTTTTCGGAAACCCCCAAAGCGTAGAGGCCTACTGGTTCCATAGTTCAGGGTATATTTCTCGGGCTCCCCAAGAGCGGGGCATTGCAGACAAGTGGCTGGTCCATCATCCACCGGAGCGATGTTCGCTTGAGGGACAGGGCACATTGGTAGAAGGCGCCTTCAGAGGAGCTCACCGCTCGTTTTGGGGTTTAGCGTTTTAGGAGTTCTGGAAAGGCGCTTGCTTGAAAATCTCTTGACACACCCTACACGGGAATGCGCGGAACTCGGCAGGCACAGCAGCCGGGGATTCAGCAGCGAGCCTTTTTCTTGGAGGCTCCGGCTCCATAGAGCCTCTGATGGCAGACCCAACGGGAGAATGTGGCTCCCCCGTAGTGCCTCTGCATGATGGCCGACCCAACGGGAGAATGTGGCTCCCCTAAACCCTAAACCCTAAACCCTAAACCTCAAACCCTAAAACCCTAAACCCTAAAACCCTAAACCCTAGTCGAATCCGCAGCCGCAACCTCAAAAGTGCGTTGACATGCTGCCCTCAGGCCTTGGAAGACCCGCCTGCCTCAGCAAACAGCATGCCGCAGCCTATTCTCTTCTCCCTAAACTTTCTAAACTTACTAAGCTCTGAAGCCTAAACCCCATCCCTAAATCCTACCCAAGCTCGGGGGCAGGCCATTCAAGTTGGGAGGCAGCTGCGGGTCCCTGGCAGGACAGAGTCCTAAGTTAGTTATTAGGCTGTAGGGTTTAGGGTTTAGGGTCTAGGGTCTAGGGTCTAGGGTCTAGGGTCCAGGGTCTAGGGTCTAGGGTTTAGGGTTTAGGGTTTACGGTTTAGGGTTTAGGGCTTAGGGCTTAGGGTTTAGGGTTTATGGCTTAGGGTTCGGGCGGAGGAATTATGGTCCAGGCCTAGTACGCCTACAGGGTCGGATAGATGCAGAGACCGCTTCACCACAGGCCTTGGACTTTAGCCTTGCCCTGCTCCTGAGTGGCTTTCGAGACTAGCATGTCCAGCAACTCGTCGTTAGGGTTTCGGGTTTCGGGTCAAGAGCGCGGGGCTCTTGAGGTCCAGCAAACGACATGGCAGCTTGGAGGCTTGTGCTTGGCTCTGGCTCGGCTTGTACTCCTTGTACGAACACAGCTTCACCACCAGAGGCTCCCTTTTCCTCACACTGCAGCACCGAAGTCCATCGGCCAGTCAGGCGGTCCTACCCTACCACAGAAAGGGCGACCACACAACACGCCACAGAGAGTCACAAAGCACAAAGAGAGACACATGCGACCTGTTGCCTGCATGTCTGTGCTGCTTCTGCTTGTGTTCCGATGCCTACGGCATGTCCTGGAACCACAAAAGCCAAAGCCACGGGTGCGTCTCATTCCACACCTTTCATCACCCCTCCTTGAGCCACCTGTCAAGGTAGGCTCACAAGGCGTTTTGGCAATCCAACTGACTGCCATAGGTACCCATGCTCTCCAAGCGGTGGGTCCTCAAGACTGGCCAATGGCCCTATACACCATCTTCTGTCGAACCTTTGGCCTCCTTTCTCACACGGCCAACGTCCAACTTCCACGCCACGGCCCAACAAGCTCGCTCTTCTCGCAAGCCCATTCAGCCCGTTCTGGTAGGTCTCAAGCTTCGCTGTTGCCCACCATTCCCATATAACGACTGTCCACCGGCTTCTCGACAGCACCTGCACAACGTCCTCTGCGACACCTGGTCCACATTGCGAAGACCCCAACATCCACGATGCCAGTGGTAGCAATCTCCTCCAGGACCATGGTACAAGACCCCATCGAACGGAACCTGCACCACTGTCGGCGTCAAAGCCGGTAGCATCTCATGCGTCTGAACCCCAATGTCTCTTCGTACAGGACGTTCAGGAAATAGGGCTGTAGGATCCAAGGCAACCACTCGATTGGCCGGAGCACTGCTTGCCCTCGGTCCAACTCCACCAGGTTCGCCCAAACCACCCACACGCACTGAGGTCACCCCATCTCTCACCTGCACTGATGTCGAGGGTCCAGCTTCACGACGCTCTGGAAAATACTTCGCAGCCAAATGACGAAGCCTCTCTTCTTCCTCCAGGCTCCTCGCCTTGGCCAGCAACGCCAACACTTCACGGTGTTCGGCCTTTTCTCCCGATTTCATCGCCTTCAAGCTCACGACCTTCTTTGTAGAGCCCTTCAAGCATTCCCATATAGCCACCACAGCTATAACCAGTATCAAGACCACCAGCCACATCTCCCAGTCTGAAGCCAGAGCTTCTTTCAGCTGCACAGAAGTCGTCGCGTCACCCTTAACCCCACACACCATAGAGCACATCGTAGCTAACTTCAACGCCCAATCAGCCTGGAACTTCACCCCTGCTTCTAGCGTCCTGCTGTTGCTACTGCTGACTGCTGCTGTGGGTTCACGACTGCTGTTGACCTCTGCTGCTTCAACACTGCTGTCGACTGCCGTGGTTTCGAACTTGACCTGCTTCTGTCCACGTAGTACCCGAAGTTCAGGGGGCCCATCTCGCAAACTCCACTCGTCGAAGACCTCCTGAAGCCTCGCCTGGGGCACTTGTTTTGTCAAAACGTCTGCGAGCTGTCCCTGTCCTGGCTGGTGCTCCAACTCGATCTGGCCCGTGGCAATCATCTCCCGGATCCAGTGGTGTCGGAGTTTGAGGTGTCTCGTCCTCCACGATCCCTCCCCAGTCAGAACTCCAATCGCAGCTGTGGAATCCACCTTCACGATGGTCCGTGCCGGCTTCAACCCCAAGTCTTCCAACGCCGACCTCACCGCTCGAAGCAAAGCCACCCCGTCGGACACTGCAATCACCTCCGCCTCGGCACTCGACAAAGCGGTCAGTGATTGCTTCGAAGCCTTCCAAAGGATCGGATGACCCCTCCAAAAGACAACAGCCCCTGAGTAACTTTGAGCAGCAGTGGGAGCGAAGCTGGCGTCCGTGAACAGGACCAAGTCGTTGGCATGCTCGTGGTCCGGGCCCGGCAAGAAGAACTTCTTGTTGACGGTGCTGTTGAGATAGGCCACCATCTTTTTGCCCATCTTCACAGCCTCCCTTGCATTTCTCGTGACCAACGAGGACATCACTGCCATTGGGAATGCCAAATCCGGCCGCCCACGTTGGGAAGCCCACAACAGCTCTCCACACCGCTGCTGTGCCTCTTTCACCATGCTCGGATCCTGCTCATCCGTAGCACTCCCTTCTGGGATTTCTCTCGCCATTGGCAGCTTGCTGAAGGACTTGACTTCCCGGCTTCGAACCAACTCCTGAAGGTAGCCCTGCTGACCCACACAGTAGGTCCCATCGTCCAGCATGCTAATCTCCAGGCCCAGAAACCGGACAGGTGGTTTTCCTCGCTCCACCATCTCACAGCCATTGTTCTCCCATTGACTGCCCAACCATCCGAAGAACCCTCGCAAGATGGAATCCGGCCCAGCCGCCAAAACGTCGTCCACATAGAAGACCACCAAGCCCGTCAAAGTCCACGTTCCAGGCTTCTCTTCCTTCAGGACCTTGTAGAGGTTGACGTCCGTCAAGCAGCCTTCCAACTTCACCGGCTTCCCATCCTCGTCCTTCCACGTTGCAAGCCTTGCCTTTGAGTTGCGATGGTCCGTCCACCACTTTGGCGATTTCTTGAAACCATAGACTGCAGCGTCCACGACCCACAGCTCCCCCTCCTCGGCCAGGCCAGCTCTGATCGCCGCCCGGGGAGGCTCCATTGCATACCCACGACCCGCTGGTAGTGGTGCAGCCAAGAAGGCGTTCTTCACGTCATCCGTTCCAATGCTCCACTTGTTGGCACTGGCTTCAGCGACCACAATCCGAACTCCCTCGATTGTAGCTCCTGCCGCATACAGATCACCCACCTCCAGGCCCTCATTGGCGAAGTTTCCACAAGCCACCGCCCGCACTCGACGTCGGTACTTCCCCTCCTCAGGCCTTGTGGGAGGCTTCACTGTGTACACGAGTTTGGACGGCACCACCGTTTGGATCGGCCCGGAAACGTCTCGCATCTTCACCCCAAATCTTGTGGATAGCGTTCATGCCCACCATCGAGTCGACCTCCTTGGCCATAGGCTTCTTCCACTTTTCAATCGCCTCACTTGCCTCCTTCGGGTCAACGGTGTGCACAACCTGAAGCACCTCGTCCTCCTTCAAGTCGTTCAGCAACGCTTCAATCCCTGGGGTGTAAAGGCCTTCAGAGGTAGCCTTCCTAAGCATAGGCTCCATCCAGGATTCCTCTGGCTCGCCCAGCTCCTCAAACTCAACCTCCTCAAACAACATCATGTCGTCGACTATGAGCTTGTTCTCCCTCGCAGTTTCCACCCTCATTGGTGCCAAGCGAGGTTCACGATCATCTTGTCCAGGAGGGTCCCTACGTCCCATCCATGGCAACGCCGGCAATGGTGCCTCTTCCACCACTACCCTTCGGTCCCAGTACAGGAGATACTCCACCCTTCCAAGGAACATGTTGTACACCTGGACGACCACCAACTCTTCCCAGTCCAACGTGTTCTCAGGCGTGGGGTCCACCACCGGAAACTCCTGCACATCCATGATGGTGACCAAATGCCTTCGGAATCCGTCCTCCGTGACCATGTAGACCTCAGGCTCAGTCTCCCAGTCTTCCATGCTGTTGTACACCAACATTGGCACCACCTCATCCACGGTGTCATCCACGGGCAGAATCTCTCTCCACTGTCCACGAAAAGCGTCAATCACCTCTTGCCCGCTGTGAACGTCCGCTTCCCATCGTTCGTACTCATCCTCTTGAAGCCTCACAAACTTGGTGATCAGTTCCATTCTTCGATTCACCGGCTGAAGTGGTAAGGCGTGAGGATTCGGTCCCGTGAACTTGTTCAAGCGAACCGAACTGCTGGGATCTCTCGGTTCCTGATCTCTCGATCTAGACCTCTCCCTTGGATTCACCGTGAAGGTGGTATTGTTGGACATGACTGCTCCTGCTCTCGCTGGACCTGCAGGAACCGTAGAAGCTGCCCCCCGTGGTGGCAGTTCTTGCAACGCTCGAGTCATCTCGGTCTCGTGGATGTACTCCTCCCGCGTGGCCTCAACCCAGCTCACGTAGAGATACTTGGTGTCTCGCCTGGACTCCACATAGTACCCAAAGATTGCCGAAGTACCACCGGGGCCATTCCACACCATGGTGACCGTCGCCATGTAGATCAACCGATACCGAGGTGATCCAATCACCTGCTCGGTGACTCTCCTCTCCAGCACCGGCTCAGAATCCTCCGACAAGATGAGCTCCAAGCGATCCTTTTGCTTCCAGAACTGATAGGCCAGATCCTCCTTCCTAGCAGCCTGGAACACTTGCCTTTCAGTCGGCAATGAGTCCATTCGCCAATTCACCGTGAACGGCTCAACCTCATGCCCTTCCAAGTACGCTGCCAGGACGTTGACGTCAGTAGTCATTCGCATTGGTCTCAACCGAACCTGCTGCTGCCCGTCACCACCAGACCCAGTAGCATGTTGAGGTACTTGGAAGCCACGTTGATCTCCCGAATCGCCAGTCGTCTCCTCATCCAGGACTTCCTCCGCTGTGACGAAGCCCCAATCATTCAGCACCTCCTGCTCCTCACTCTTCACTCGGTGAAAGTCCCTGATGGAGTATGCTGCCACCACTAGCCGATTGCCTTCCCACTCCTGGGTAGCGTGCCACTTCCTCGGAAGAAACAC